AACTGGTTCTACGCATCGCGACGAAACATTGTGCTTATTATAACATGGAAACCAGATTACGAATGCAAGTTCACGAGGACGGTGGGAAAAACCGTGGGGAAAGATAATAATTTGAACTCATACGCATTTCTATGCAAATAGCGTTGCGAAGGTTAATGATCGATACGAGTATTTATTAGAAGGATAAAGTTCAAACGATCGAATGGTTGTTTCAAGGCTGTCGATTACCGATATATCGCCGGGTTCATACGAAGCAGGTAGGCTGGCGTGGCATTGTACGCGTGGCTAGGAAAAAAGAAATGTTCGCGGGATAACAGGTAGAGGATCGCGGGAGGCGCAAGTTTCCTTGTTGGTAACGATAAGTGCACGTCTTTGTTCGCGATCCACCGCGAAATTACACGGTTTATCAAAACTTGATCGACCTCCGCCGGCGTTTTTGCAGCCTGATGGGGGCCTCGTTTCTCTTAATAATTGGACAACGCCATTGTTCCCACCTTGGCGAGCATCGGTAGATCGAGAAAAGGTTCTCGATAGCCGCTTATTGTGCCGACACGTGTGCATCGATAAGCGGCGTGATTAACGATCACCGTGATTTCGACGGAGTTCCCTTCGCTAACTCCTTTCGTTCCGTTTCCTTTCCTTTCCTTCTCCACCATTCTTCTTTCCATCTTCTTTTTCATAAACGATCCGAATTGAAGTATGAATTCTAGCTTCACCCTTTAACCCTTGAACAGCGGCGTCTGAGACAACCGAGAGTTTATAATTTAGAAAATTAAATCAGGGCTTTCTCCATGGTCCGTCATTCGAGAGATAAGAAACGCGTTATGTTATACAAAATTAAATTAAAATCGGGACGGTCTTCATGGTCCGTCGTCGGAGGGTTGATGTCCGAATTTCTTTAAACTTGTAAACCTAATGCAATTATCTTGTAAATTCGTCTTGTACAAGTAAAGTGGATTTAATAACATTAGCATTCCCTATTATTAAAGTAAGGCTGCCTTTTATTTCTCGGAGAGGTTCATTAAATTGTAAGCGTATACCAGGGTAGAGGGGAATAAAGTCTCATATTTCTTCGGTGTTTTTCACCTTCGCCAGGGCAAAAAGCTGGCGGTGGGCGTTGAACCGTGCCATTAACTGCAATTTCGCTGATGCGGTCCTTCTTCCGGATCGTTAGCGGGGCCACTTTGGCTGACTTATGTAAACTCCGTGGACGATGCAGATGTGATTTAATGAGAAGTACGAAAGAGCCACGATCGGCACGGTTCCACGTGTCCGACGTTTTAATACGATCGCGAGGCTGCCCGAGAGACGCACCGTTTGCAAATTCAACCGACGCGCGAGCCGGCCTCATTATGCAACCGCCACTTTTGCGGAATGCACGTGTTGCAACGAACGTATACTTGAACGGGGAACAGATTAATTACCCGCTGGACGGACTGCGAGGTCGGTTGCTGTAATTTTCGAAATCGATGCTTTCAGGTGTTATTATTATGCTGTAATTGTTAAAAAAAAGTTTTGTAGGTAGCTGAATTCCTAAGAATCTTCATCTCCTTCGAATACCGGAGATATTATTCTTGTATACGTTTTGTAAGTTTGGGTCACGACCGATCCAGGCTCCTCTGTTCAAGGATTAAAAGAAATTGCAACGGGTCAACGAGAAGGGTTGAACAGATGAAAATCAACGGCTCACGCTGTTTCCTCGCTATCGGACCTCCGACGTAGCAATGGCGAAGATTTTGCCACGGACTGTATCCCTAACGATATGCGATTGTCGCCCCATTAGATGCACCTCTCACGGCCCGCTATATGGATATCTTCGCTCCTCTCCCCATATAGTGGCGGAGCCCCCATAGCGCTGTTTATCTCTCGACTATGGCAGCATTGCACTCATATAACGAGACGAACCGACCCCAGTTTGCCTTTCGAACAATGGTCGCGGTCTGCGGTCCGATCATAACCGCGAGAAGGGAGGCACAGGAGGCGAGGAAAAAGGGAAGGAATCGTTGGACAGAAGAAGAACAAGAAAGAAGCGAACAAGTCGCCTCTTTCTCCTCGAGCTTGTTTCGCGTTGCTCTCACACCTCGGATTCTCTATCCGGAGCATAAATATAAACACTGTCCTTCGATTTATACCTCTCTAATGGGTCAAGAGAAATGGAACTGTTCCCCTCCACCTCCAATTTCGATGGGTCACAATTTGGGTGGTTTCAACGTTCAGGAATGATTGATAGTACAGAAGGCGAAAGAAGTTTCTCAGGTTGTTCAATATTGGTGTATCATTAGCTTTCTGATGAAATTCGATGCAATACCTTGGGAGTTTTTGCCAAGAGGAAGTCTTAAATGCTAGCAATCCAGATAGTGAAAGCCTAAGATCACTTCTACACATCTGTAACCGCAGACCTAGTTCTAATTGTAATCCCTCGTTTTCCTGGGTTAATGAAGATAGATGTACCTCGGTAAAGAAGGACTCGTATCAAGTGGAAACAAAGTGCCGGAGCAAAATGAATCTCATTTCTGGAGATTATTACCGGAGAAAAAAAAAAAATGTTAATTTCGCAATGGGGTCTTAACAAATCTGTACAAGGAACGAGTGCACCAGACCAGAATCGGACCGTTCCATTAGTTGAGCGACTTTATCTCTCTAATTTTAACGTCCGACCAATTACCTCCCACAATACGGTGCCTCGGTGACCCGGGAAGCTGTTCTCGTTGTAATCGTTGCTCATAAACACGTGAGAACTTGCAACCGGAGATACCCCGAGCTCTTTGGCGCGCGTAATCGTGCGCATTCGCGCGGGAAATGAACCGATACGTCATGAAAAAATTGGCCGTTCCTCGTGGCGGCTAATTGGAGGCAGAAGTAAGTAAGTTATCCAACGTTAACTAACAACGACGCGATGACTCTCTCGCGCAGCGTCGCTTTATCAGCCCCGGGGATCGGGCGATAAAGCGATTGGGAATGCGGTTAGGCGATATTGTTGATAGCAAGTCGAACCAGTATAACGCACGTTTAAAACGTGTACGCTCAGAAGCAGGTCCTGCGTTAACGTTCGCAGCGATCTTCTAATCTTGCTTAACGATACGTGCATCAATAAAGAAGATCGAGAGCCCTGGGAAAGGCTGCAGGCCACATTAGTGACTTCAATGACTCGTTTCCATTTCCTGTTTCGCGTTAACGATATTATTATTGCGGGAAGGAGGGATCATGAATTTTCATTCGTTCTAAAACGATCAACAGCAAGAATTACTTTTCATTTTTTTATAATTAATATCGTGTTATTAGATTAGAGTAACAGTTATTGACTTCTGTATAATAATTGACTCTTTTCCTAAAAAATTAGAAAATATAATACATAATTCTATTTGGAATGTCTGGCCTAGATTCACTCTATTCACCTTTTCAAGTTTAACTTGAAATAAATATCTGTTTGACAGCTATTAAATAATTATTGATCGAGGATACTGATATTAATTCATCTACAGGGTGTTCTATTTAAATACATAATTTAAATAAAATGATTATTCGCGTAGAATAAAGTTGGATACCATTGTTGTTATTAAATCCAGCCAGGACTTTCATTTGCATCGAGGCAATTAGACGAAGAAGCTCCTATGATACGCAACGACACGAGGCTGGTAGGTTTATTGATAAAGTCATTAGTATTTTCGAACGACAGAGGCTGATCGAGCGTGCACGCTAATTATCCACGGTGTACGAGGTAATTCGAGCCTCGTCGTCGACCGTGACGTATAATAATCCAAGCACGTACGGTATTCCCGATAAAGCGAGGCTTACCCACTCTATTACGCGGCTCTCGGACATAGTTATGCCCAGAATTGCCCCGTTCCTGGCTGCCTGATGCGCTACAATCCGGCTGCAATTACTTGCCATGCCTCCTCTAAGTATCGCGATACAGCGTGAGAACTCGCGACTCTAATATGGAATATTCAGTAATAACCGTCCGATTTCCATGCGCGAAAGCATAACTGCCCTGAAGACGCGATTCTGTGACACGATCGTTAAAATCATCCTGCGCCTCGCGTTAGTACGCCTCGATGATTTACCGTACCGTCGTGCTCACCTATAAAACGGTCATAATGTTTTATCATCCTGGTCGAAGCAAGGAAACCAGGATGCCTTACGACTCTCGTCAAGTATAACGAAAAATGAAATCTTTTAAGTGATTGGCATATAATTAGAATATTTTTAATCGTCTAGCATTGATGTAACGTATGCAAAGTGTTTGAAATATTAAATCGATGAAGATTAGAATTTCACGTGTGTAGGATTATCTACTTTGAAATAGGGTATACCGATGATAGAGTAGAGAATTAAGTATAACAAGCTCTGGGCGGTAGTAAAGATTGATCGATTAGTTTAGTTCGTTACAAGAAACGAGGTATCTAAATTGGAATTTTTATTGGCGAATTTATTCGCCTGTTTTTGGTGCTTGACAAGTTCCTAATGTACCTGTAACAAGCACCACGCTACGAGCCATCTAAAGTGGCGTGTACCCCATACATCTTACGGCGCCACGATATGAAGACCTTGTTCGATGATTTGTCTCAACGAAGAAGACACGACCCACTCTCTGTGCTCTTTAGTTTCATCGTACCATAACTCACGTGCTCGTACAGCACGATTTATTTCTTGTTAGAGGAGATTTTAGAGGTTCGTCGTTCAAAGTGGAACGTGTTCCAGGCGTGACTTCGATATTTTCTGAAAGCTAAACGAGAAACCAGTTTGATACCGAAACGATCGCGTTGGAATTTCAAATTATATTCAAACTCTGACATCGATCGAAGGTTAAGCGCGATTTAGAGCAGAAAATCGTTGCGTTTCAGACGATTAAGAGAAGGCGATCGTGTTTCTACGATGAGAAGGAATCAATTTCGATCGTTAATTAAGCTTGTATCATTCAAACTGGCGTGAAATTTCTTTCTCGTCAGCGATCACGATTGAGAGGAAATTTTCTAATTATCCTTTCGTGTGTTACACAGGTTCGATCGTCTGGTACGAGCGGACGAGTTCTCTTCGAGACGACATTGAAGGATTCGAGACACGAGGTCGACGTTTACTCGCGCGGCTCTCGGTTACGATGTTCCCTTCAACGGGACGTCCTTCGACGCCGAAAATTCCGTTCCACTTGTCTCCGATAGCAGTCGCATTTATATTTGCTGCGGTTCAGACCGTACGATCGTGCCACGCGGTATGCACCAGCCGGCCGAGCTGCAACAACTTTCGCCCTTGGGCGACTCGCGTTGCTCTTATTTAAACAACATACCTAACTCGCTCGCCTCTCTTACTCGCGACTCCCCCGCCTCCCACCACGCCGACCAGGAGTACCTGGCATCCTTCTTCAGGAGCGTACCAATCCTTCTGGCAATACCTCTGATGATGAACACCTTTCCCCTTACCTCTTTAACAATAACTCAAAAATTATATAAATATATTGTGAATTTTTCTTTATATGAAAGGATGTACTTAATCTATATTTTAATTATTTAAGAATTATTTAGTAAGATATATATGTAGACTATGATACATTATTTTAATTTCTATTCTCTACTGTCTATCATCAATGGAAACATCAAAATTTGAAATAGTAAAAAATGTACTTTTTACTGTAAATATTCATCAAATAAATAAAAATTAATTCCCAGCTAAAAATCTCTTATTATTTCAAACGAAACAATTACCTAGCAAAGTGTTGAAAAATCCTCTCCTCGAGATGTCGAGCTCGAAAATTCCGAATCGGTCGATCAAAGTCGTCGGGGCGACAAACGAGAGGCGTCAGATGGGGGGCTCCTAAGGGTCTAAACACGTCGCTGGTATCGCGGATCGTGGTATCCCTGACTGGAAAGAGCCGTAGCCAGGGTTCTTAGCCCGGTCCAGCAGGTACCTCCGTGGCTGTGGCACTGATCGTCCAGCGATACCGGCGTAATTTAAAATCATCGGGGCACGAGACAAAACAGGCAGCCAGGGAACAAGTGTGTGCTTTGCCCCGCGGAATCTTGATTATGCATTCCACGGATGACGTTCACGGGGACCCCGGGTTCGGTTCCCCGTTCCTCGTCGTTCGCGCGACCGAGTGCCGGTCCTGCGAAGATAATCGATCGCCGCGGATGTCCTGTCGCTTTGATGTACGACTCTGAATGTTCGCACCTAAAGTCCCTCGGGGAGCGAACACGTTCGCGGACAAGGGTGGCCGCGACCAGCATCGAGGGAATAATATTTTTTCGATAAAACATTGTCCCCCTGGTTCTCGCGTGTACCACGAGGAATTCGTCGAGCTTTTAAGGGGTCAACGTCGTCGTTACTTTTCCGCCACCAGGTTCCGTCGTCGTTCGTCGCGCTCGAATGAATAATCAATCGCGTACCGCGTCCCGAGGCTCGTTCCTTTTGATGTACGACGCTAGATAGCCGCGAACCGCCAGAAGAATTCATTAAACGAAGCCCAACGAGGCGTCGACCAGGTGAAAAGAGCAAAATGAATCAACGGTGTTCCATGCTGGAACGTGTTTAGCCGCCTCTCCGACTCGCGGAACGTGTAAAGTACAGCCTACCTTTCTTTTTCTTGCCGGACAACCGGTATTGCCAAAAAGTGGATAACTGTGTACCTCCCTCTCGCGCAAAAAATATATTTGCCGAATGAATTCGTACGGTCGGTTACAAGGTGGCGAGCCTTTTAGCAGAGTTTTTAGCGAGCTCTTTCCACCCTTGTTCTCTCCTCGTTGTTTGATCGACGATTCTAAAGCGGTTTTTACCAAAAACGACCTCTGATCGGTTAATAAAAAATTACCTGAATTACGTTCCTATAAGAGTACGGATTAAAGGAGAAGCAACGTTTCGTTCGACGAACGCGATTCTATCCACGGTCCGCGTACCGGGGACGATTAACGACTGTACGTGGCTCGTGGACATCCCTCACCATTCTAATTACCTGCCAGCATGCGGCCTAGGATTATTCGTATTAGCATGTGCTGATTGCCGACGGTGAGGAAGTGCAGCGTCCTCCGCCAGCGGCCTTACCGCTCTCTTCCCTCTCTCTAAGCTCACGCTCGATGGGATTCAAGGTGCAGAGAAACGTTTGATTTATCATCTGGGACAGCTGGACCTTTTATAGGCGAGCGAATAGCGCTGCGCTCCAGGAAATGCAAAGCGGGTAATTATGAATCGAAACGCGAGGGGAGCGGGAACGGTGGATTAAAATCGAGCGTGAATGATTTGTCCGTAGAGAGGAGAGAGTGGCCACAGGTGGATACCTGGACGAAGAAGGAGGAATTTAAACCTTCGAGGTGGTCTCGACGATCTATCGTCATCCTTGTTACATGCAAAAAACACACTGGAACATTTTTAGAAAAACTTCAAAACGTGTTCACCGCTGTTTATTCCGATTCTATGAATCAACGGTCTTCAAAGGAACGTGTAATTAATTGATTCGCATTGTGCACTTTATTACCGTATTATTTTGCTGCACGCTGGAATGATGCAATAACGATTGTAATATCACGAGTGTACGATGAAACTGGTAATAAAAATGAAACACAAAAGGTGCTCGTTCCTGGTCAGACCGCTTTGAAGACAGCCGCTCCGCCGTTAGTTCGATTTATGCACTTGGCTCGCGCTAACCGGTCGATTATGCGCGACCGCTGCAACTGCAGCTTGATATCGAAACACGCGCGAGGCTAATGCATCGGTTAACTACCGCGAGATTCGGGAAGAGATCGGGATTTTGGTAACCGCCCCCCCACTTTTATCTACCCCGAGGAATCGCTTCTCGCCGATGTACCTAGCTGATCCTGCAGGTGCACTCCGAAGGGATTCTTCTCCTTTTTTGCATAACCCGGTATAGAATCGCTAGCGGACGGAACGCACGAACGGCAATCATCGCCGTTGAAATCGCAACGAGTCCTCGCGGCGTGCCGGTCACGCCGATTCGAGATAACATTAACGCAGCCCCACATAAATAATGACCACTATTAGGCGATCTCGTTGGAACGCAACGACTGATACATCTTCAGCTTTGTGCTCGCTCGTCAAGCTGCTGAAAGGAGTCGTCGGCGATTTGTCTGCGACGCGTTCCGCGCGATTTCAGCGAGCCACGAGTCAAGGTCCTAGGCGCGATTTTTCAATCGAAGAATTCCAAGGGAATCGAGATAATTCATGACGCGCAATCAGGCTCGATTTTCAGCGGAGATACCACGGGACGTGCAACGAGCATCTCGGCGACCCGAAACGGTACCGAGGGTCGAGCAACCCCTTACCGGGCCCCGTGACGGGCCCACGAGGTTCCAAAGGTTGCGACGACGCCTCGGGCTCTCCGTTGAAAGGTACGCACGATCAAAGAGCCCATCGCCGAATCGCTGGAATTCAACGATCCACGATGGCCACCCGCCGCAGGGTAACGAGAAAATATCGATACTTTGCTAAGCAATAAACCACCATTACCATCGTATATGGAATTTCGTATATGGGAATTTTAACACGGTACGATTTTATCGCAATTAATACCAGAAACGATCCCTCCTCTGATATCGACAATAATGTATCTACCATACGATCTAATAAAAGAATTTTGTATAAATCATCTCTTCGTTTAAAGTACCATCTTCCTTTTTCAAATCAAACATTTATCTTGCAAAACTTATTTGCATCGGAGCCACCCCATGCGTCACACCAAAGTGGCTGCTTTAAAAATACGATTATTAATCTCGGAAGAAAAAGACACCCCTAACACGAAACTCGTGTCCACTTAATGGGCCCGAGGTCCACGCGAATCCTTGCCCAAGATTAATACCATCCACCCGGTGTTTCGGATCGGCCTCTTTTGGGCCCTTCTCCTCGCGAACCGGTGAACAGACTCGGCGAGCAAGGAACGCGTTTCTCTATTGAGGTGCTGCATGACAGATAAGCTTAACCTCCGGCCCATTAACATTATTAACATCTGAACGCGAGGAGAGAGTGCAAGGAGCGAGCCGTATGCCCGCCACGTCCGGCCCACGCGCGCAACACGCTCGCACGACGGTTTTGTGTGCCCACCAGACGGGCATTAAGGCGTGCGATCGAGCCAGCAGGATAATTAGGGGTACCACGGTCAAACGGCGTTCACAGGGCCCCCTTCTCTGTTTATTAATTCATCCCCATTGTCGGGGACCTAGCAACTTTGTTCGCAAGCTGTTATTTCAAATAGCCATTTCTTATTTTAATTTCAAATATAATTTGCTCGGTTATTTTCGACTCACTCGCGTCTTCCTACGACTGTGGATATCGAGAGGATTCGGGAAGAGGCCGAGGGCCGCGATTTCGATAACGATCGAGGCGTCGATCGTGAGGATCGTGCAGCTCGTTCCTCGTGAAAGAGGAGAAGAAGGTGGGCCGTAGCCTGCGGCGGGGTCAGTCCGTCTCGCGAGGCGTGTCAACCTGCCAAATATTATGGAAATTTATTCCCGCGGGATTCAGCCGCGTAATGGATTCCCGCGCGCAACCTCGAGACGATGCGCCGAGGCGGGCCGGATCCGGCGACTACTTTGCAACTCGTTAGCAACGCTCGACGTTGCTTCTCCTCTTTCCTTCGTGCGAAGTAACGATAATAAGGGTTGCATTCAATTCGTAGAAACGTACCGTTGAGTTTAAGAAGTTTGCTTGAAGTAGAAGTATCTTTGTAAGGAAATTCCTTTGAAATTGTGAAAGGTATCCTGAATATCTCCCTCGGGTTCCTTGAAGGAAACGCGAAAAGGTGGCGACTCGTGGCAAGCGGAGAAAAAAGAAAGAGAAGTGCCAGTGTCAAGACACCGGGCTGGAGTCAAAGTGGTCAGAGAATTAATTCCAGAAATTTTTGTCGGCCTCCTCTTCCCCTGTTTGCTGCTCTCGAGACGGTTGAGAGAGCACGCCGGGCATCACGGATCTCATCGAATTCTCTCCACCTTCTCTCCGTTGCTCCTCCGTGTCTCTCTTTTTCTCGCTCGTTGCCCGCCGATCTCTAGCCTCTCTCGACCGGGCAACGGGCATGACAGTGTCACGTCCCCCGGAGCAAAAATCCTTATAAAACAAGACACGCCGTGGAGAAGCGCAAGGAGATGAGGAGGAACAGCCCGTGAGAAGCGGCTAAGTGGATAAGGTGCTAAGTGTGGCCCGAAGGTAGAGTTTCGTACGTCCGTACACAGCCGCCACGAGAAGCGTCGTGCTCGGGACCAATTACCAGTACCGAACGGGGAAAGCGGGCGATCACGCGATTTTCGAGGTTATTCCGTTCTTGTCTGCTACCGTTTTTATGCCCCTCGCTGCGTTTCCCTTCAATTAACCCGCACTTGCATAACCGTGTTCATCTCTGCGTGCAGTCTTTTCACACAGATGGTAACAATAACGCAAAGAGTGACGTGGTTCGTTCTACCCTGTCCCGACGTTCGCGTTAATTTATTACTCGAGATCACCGAATCTCTGCTTTGGGTGCCGACGAAAAATGGAACAAGGTTCCTTCAAGATTTCGCTCACGACCTGACTGTGAAGTCACT